TAGCCAGAACTTCAAGTAATACATGTTTGTCCACATATTTGTCTGGACAGATGTGTTCAGAGACAGACACAGATCACATTGATTTATGAATGTTCACAAACTTGGGAAAGACAAAATAAGTAGATCAGCTGATGAGATTTGTGCCCCATATGAGCACTTCCTAAGGAGCATCTGTTACAACGAAGGTTCTGATTCTCAAGGTGACAGAATGGAACATCCAGGTGTCCATCCTCCTCCTTGAGGAACCACTCAGGTTCCTTTAATAGACACATTTATAACGTGGCTGTGGTGGCAAACTTTGAGGCTGTATATGGATGGACTCAGTGTGGACTTTTCCTCCTAAAGGTTGGACTAATTACTGTTACGACTGAATGCCTAATCCAACAACAACAGACCAACACTAAATTCACTGCATGGCACTATTCCCTGAAGGGACCAGTTTCGTGGTATTGGGTGGATTATATAATGGAAGGGCACAGATTTGTCCCCAACGGAATACACATATTCTGAATATGGGTTTACCTTCCTAATCCACGCACTTTCTGCCAGCAGCACATCTATAAATTCACAGAATCCTTGTTCGCTGCTGTAGCATGCCACATGACATCACTTTGATCAAGGAGCTCATTTCACAGCAGCAGAAATACAGAAAGGGGCTCAAGCCCACGAAATCACTAATCTTGTCCTATATTTCACCACATGGAACCAACTAACAACATGGAATGGCCTATAAAGACTCAGCCATGGCACCATTTAGAAGTCACCACTCTTAAAGGGTGGGCTCCTTTCTTACACGGGGCATAAAGCACCGTCTTCACCACTGAACACATTGGTCAGGAATCAAAAGGTAAGGCAGGAAACACTCTTCTCAGTGTTGCACCTCACAGCACACTTGCAGAATGTTTATATTATTATATTAGTTATCTGGGACTTCCATAGTAGAAATACTACAGATGGGGTAAGTCAAACGACCAAAGTCTATTTTCTTACGTTTTTTGGAAGCTAGAAACACACTATCTGACCTCCTCGGCTTGCAGATGCCTGCCTGCCTTCTGTGCCCTCCCAAAGCTTCTTCTTTGTACAAGTGCTTACTGAGTGCCTCTCTGTATGTTCCCCTTCCTCCTTATAAAGACACCAGTCAGACTAGATTAGGACCCCACCCACCCTCCTCATTTTAACTCATCTCTTTGAAGGCTCAATCTCCAAATAGACAGGAGGTCTTGGGAATTTAGGCTTCAACATATGAATTTGGAGATTCCATGGAGGAATGACATAATCCAGCCCATGAAATATGGTCTTTTAGCTCCAAACCAACCCTTTTGGATGTTGTTTGGGGATACTGAGGCTGAATTAAAACCTGCTAATTATAGGCAGTAGGAGTTGGCATTTCCCTTCTGTCTTCTCTAATTTTTATTTGTTCACCATCTGCTTCCTATACTGGAGAGTATTTCTCTAAGACTTCCTTATCTTACCCAGAACAATGCCTTTCCACGACAGGAACTGAACTCAGCTTGCGGTTTTTCCAGAACTAGCTTCTATGCACCCCTCTTCCCTAGAATTCACCAAGTGATAGTCAACTCCTTCCTTCCTCAGATCTGGGTCCCAGGCAAACTCCAAGGCTCAGCAGTATCTCAGTAGGATACTGTTTCATATACAGGACTCATCTTCCAAACTTCTAAGTTTTAACAAGTCTAACCTCTTCCATTCATAGATGCAGCCCCGGGATTAGAAGCTACTTTCTGTAGTAACAACCTCTAAGAAAACTTTTTGTGTCTTCAATTACCTACTTGAAAATTCTTTCAAGTTTTTGTTGTTGTTGTTGGTTTTGTTTTTATGTTCAAACAACCGAGATGGTTTCTGCCTAGTTGGTACAATTTTCACTCTCGGCGAGAATCTTTATACCCCAGTACCCTTGCCATCTGTGATGGCTATTCTTGGTTGTCAACTTGACCACATCTGGAATTAACTAAAACCAAGTGGCTAGGCACACCTGTGAGGAATTTTTTTCCTAATTAATTTGTTTGAAGTGGGAAGGCCCACTTGTAATCCGGAATTCAGATCTTTTGTGCACCTTTAATCTGGGCCACATCTTCTTCTGGCAGCCTATATAAAGGACATGGAAGGAGGAAGCTCTCTCTGCTTGCTTGCTCTTACTGGCAAGTCCATTCCTTCACTGCCATTAGAAACTCCCTTCTTTAGGATTCTGGAGCTCTGATGAGACATCCAGCCTCATGGACTGAACAACTATTAGATTCTTAGACCATCTGTTGGTAGACAGCCATTGTTGGACTGGCTGGATCACAGCCTGTAAGCCACTTTAATAATCCTCTTTCTCCATAGATAGATAGATAGATAGAATTATAGAGATAGACAGTTTCATTCAGTAAGTCTGATCCTTTAGAAGTCTATAACTATAGCTCCTAGAAGTATATATGGCACACACACATACACACAAAGTTTTAAAACTAAAAATCAAATTTTAAAGACATTTATATGAGCTGTAATTTTTTGAAAAAAAATGTTCTGTTGCAGCTGGGCGATGGTGGAATACACCTTTAATCCCAGCACTCAGGAGTCAGAGGCAGGAGGATCTCAGTAAGTCCGAGGCTACCGTTCGAGGACCAGGAGAGAATCCAAAGCTACACAGAAAAACCCTGTCTTGGAAAAAGTTTTTAAAAATAAACCAAAAAAATGTTCCATTACTGAGCTGTTTTGCTATTTAGTTTGAGGTTTGCCTTTTTTTTAATGTTTGAATGTTTTACTGCATGTATATAATCTGTACCACATGCATGCTGTGGTAGTTTGAATGTAATTGGCCCCCATAAGCTCATAGGAGTGGCATTATTAGGAAATGTGGCTTTGCTGGAGTAAGTATAGCCTTATTAGAAGAAGTGTGTCACTGTGATGTGGGCTTTGAGGTTTCCAATGTTCAAGATACTGCCCAGTGTCTCAGAGGATTTCCTGTTACCTGCAAGACTCTCAGCTACTTCACCAGCACCATGTCTGCCTGCATGCTGCCATGCTTCCTGCCATGATGATAATGGACTGAACCTCCGAACTGAAAGAGGACCTCCCCAATTAAATGTTTTCCTTTATAAGAGTTGCTGTGGTCATGGTGCCTCTTCACAGCAATAACTAGTAACTAATAACACATGGCTAGTGCTTACAGAGGTTAGAGGAGGGCACTGGATTCCCTGGAATGGAATTATGGATGGTTGTGAGCTACCATGTAGGTGCTGGAAATTGAATCCAGCCTCTCTGCAAGAGCAACATGTGCTCTAAACCATTAAAGCCATCTCTCCAGCCCTATTGTTTGTTTGTTTGTTTGAAACAGGTCCTTATATATAGCCCAGGATCGTTTCAAACTTGGTAGGTAGCCAAAGATGACCTTGGAATTACTGATATTTCTGCCTCTCCCTGATGAGGGAGGTTCTTCTGTATGCTGTGAATGTATGTTTCTCTTACTGGTTGATGAATAAATGCTGATTGGCCAGAAGCCAGGAAGTATAGGCAGGGCTACCAGACTAGGAGAATTCTAGGAAGAGGCATGCAGAGAGTCACCATGTAGCTGCCAAAGGAGTAACATACCCGAGCACTGCCGGTAAGCCTCAGCCTCGTGGCAATACATAGTTTAATAGAAATGGATTAATAATTAAGAGAGAGCTAGCCAGCCGGGCGGTGTGGCACACGCCTTTAATCCCAGCACTCGGGAGGCAGAGGCAGGTGGATTTCTGTGAGTTCGAGACCAGCCTGGTCTACAAGAGCTAGTTCCAGGACAGCCTCCAAAGCCACAGAAAAAAAAAAAAAAGAGAGGAGAAAGGAGAGGAGAGAGAGAGAGAGAGAGAGAGAGTTAGCCAATAAGAAGCCTAAGCTACTGGCCAAATAGTTTATAATTAATATAAGCCTCTGTGTGTTTATTTGGAACTAAACAGCTTCGGGACTGGACAGAACAGAAACTCCATCATCGTCTACCTACCAAGTGCTGGGGTATCAGGTATGAACCATCATATATGGCTCAAAAAACAAAATAAAAACAAAACAGCATTGATTGGCCATGCCTCCTCCTCCTCCTCCTTTTTTGAGATAGAGTCTCTCTATGTAGTCCTGGCTGTCCTGGAACTCAATATGCAAACCAGACTGCCCTCAAGCCCACAGACATCCTCCTGCCTCTGCCAGCAGAATGTTGGTATTAAAGGCATGCACCACTATGCCCGACACATCATCCATGCCTTTGCAACACTCATCAACTTACTGACCAGTCAATCTCTTCTCCAGATTGTACTGACTCTTAGAAGGCAGGGGCCATACCTTGGCCATCTACATATCCCTAATACCTAATGCAGGACTTAGCAAAGAGCTGATGCTCAAGAAAAAAGGAACTACTTATAAACTGATTGCGTTCCCTCTTATGTTTGGAAGTGGGCCATTTCACTAAAGCCTCAATGACCAGGGCTGCAATTCAGGCTAATACTCCCCAGTAAGAATGGTAGGTACCACAATTTCAGTAGGTACACCTTACCTTCAATACAGAGGTCTGCTAAACTCCCATCTTCCACATTGTTTAACAGTCCTTGAAGCAGAGTGAGGCAATAAAAGGTTGATTAACAGTGCTCTTTCAAGCTAAACAGTTCTACAAAGGCAAGCATCATTATAAAACCAGAAGTTTAAGTAATGTCCTTGCTAAATTCTGTCCTCAACAACACCTAGACTTTTCAACATCCAGTGTAACTTTTAAAAGATGACAGTCCATGTGCACAGCAAATAGATTGTATGCTTTGGACTCTGACACATCTAAGAGCAAAAAATTTTGGCTCTTGTTTTCTTCAAAGATCATTCTATCTCACATAAAAGTCTATGTCAGCAGCTGAAAGCCTAAACACAGAGAGGCACTCAATACCGTTAAGCATCCTCCAAACAAGGACTCATTCCACTGGACACTGTAATCATACACAAGAAGGAACCACTTCACTTTTCATGGAAAGAAACCAAGGTCAGCCGACTCCATTCCAGGCGTCTGGTCCTGAGCAGAATCTCAGCTGTACAACAGGATTTGCCCACTTCCAATATTTATCTTTCTACTTTCACTAGCCTCTTGGATCTAATAAGGACAGTTACCATGAAGCGGTCTGTGTAGCTTAGAAAGGGGAGCATATTGTGATGATTATAACAAAACAGCTTGCTAGTAAACTGCCACAATAATACAAAAACGTCTGAGTCATCTTTTCAAGTTCTCCAAGGGAAAAAACATTTGCAACACATGCAAAGTTCATGCCAGATTTCCCTGTGAAGCTTACCAAAAAGCACACGTACAAAATGGATGCAGACTCGGTGGTCCTGAGCTACCAGCTGTGTGACCAAGGAGGTGTGTCTCACGAGAGCATCTTGGAAACAGAACACCACATGCTTCTTGCGCACCAACTTTTGAGTGAATGAAGAGAAATATTCAATAGCAACCAAGGCAGGGTCATTCTGAATTCTCACAACTGTAATTTCCATATATAACCACAGGACTGTACTGCAGCAGTTATTTAAACTATGGGGACAGCCATACTCCCTATAGGGAGGGGAGGAAGAGTGTGCAGTGCTGAGCTCTGGAGGTGTAAGGGATTCCCAGACTCATCTAGACTCAGTGCACCAAGGGACAGGCTCAATAGAGACACAGCAGGAGACAGTCATGGCCAGCTGAGGGAAGGTCGACCTGGGCAGAGGGGATGGGGAAGTGGGTTGCAAGGGAGACTACGGGTGGGGGCAGCAATGGCCGCTGCAGCCGGGACAAGGGCAAGCCTTGGGGAAGCGTGTCCGGTTTGGGTTTCATTTCAGGAAAGGTGTGCCTGGTTTAGAGAAGCTGGCTTGCTGAGGAGAGTGAGGGAAACGGCCGAGCCAGGTCCTCGGGGGAGGGTTTAGGTCGCACCGACACGCCGGGCTCCGGCAGCAGCTCCAGTGCGCAGGCCAGGCAAACGTGAGGGGACACGGGCAGCAGCCAGCGAGGATCATGCCGGTGATGGGTCCTCTCGAGGAGCAGCACCGCTTCTTCATCTCTCCCAAACGCGGGATGGTGAGCAGTCGTCATCTGCACCACAGCTATCTCCAGGCTCCGACTCTGCAGCGCACGCACGTTTTCCCGCGCAGCTTTTGCGCCAGCGCACTTGGAAGCGCGCGCAGCTCACGTGTACGTGCACGTTTCTCCCGTGCCCGGTGCCCCGACGCTGCAGCCTGTGCCGGCGAGCAGCTAGGGAGGGATATGTAGGCAAGGACTGTGGATTGTGTGCAACTAAACCCAAAAGGACTGTGCGTAGACCTGGGCAGGAATTGGTGCTCAGTACATCGAAAGTTGAAAAGTATTTATAAAGTAGCTGACAGACTTTAAAGGAAGGAAAGAAAATCAATCTCTGCTATTATTTACTTGGGTTTGACTGTTTTTAGATTTAATTTTATGCATGAGTGTTTGCCTGGGTGTATGCATGTCACTACATGAGTGCCTGGAGTCTACAGAGATCAGAAGAGGGATCCCCTGGCGCTGGAGTTAGGGAGGCTTGTCAGCCGACATTTGAGTGTCGGGAACCAAAACCAGGTCCTATGTAAGAGCAACTGTTCTCAACCTCTGAGTCATCTCTCCAGCCTTTTCTGTTATGTTTTGTTGAGTTGGGCTCTCCTGTAGTTCAGGCTGGTCTCAAACATGAAATGCAGTCGAGGATGACTTTAAATTCCTGATTCCCCTGAGACTGAGACAGGAGGACCGCTCCATCATTTCTGCTGTACTTCAATTGTTGGAAGTCAGTAGTGTCAAATCACACTCAAGGAGAGGGGATCTTACAAGACATGGACACCAGAAGGTAGAGATCACTGGAAGCTGTTTTACAGGTTTACCACAGTGTGCGAGCTATGGTAAAGGAAGAGACATTTGAAAAAAAAAAATCTCTTTGGGGGGGCCACTACCGAGCACCCTAGTAAATCACTCATGGAGGCTTATTCTTAGTTATGAATGCCCGGCCTTAGCTTGGCTTGTTGCTAGCCAGCTTTTCTTAAATTATCCCATCTACCTTTCCCCTCTAAGCTTTTATCTTTCTTCTGTATTTCTTATTTTCCTTCTTACTCCATGGCTGTCTGGGTGGCTGGCCCTGAAGTCCTCCTTTTCTTGTTCTCTTGCTTCTCCCTCTCCTCAGTTCTCCTTCTATTTATATTTTCTGCCTGCCAGCACGGCCTATTCTTGCTCCTGCCTTGCTATTGACCATTCAGCTCTTTATTAGGTGTTTTAGACAAGCACAGTAACACAGCTTCACAGAGTTAAACAAATGCAGGGTGATGGAATTATGGGAGTTTTCATTGTTTTTATGAAATAAGCAGATAGAGGAATCCACAAACTTAAGAATGACCTTGAATCCCAATCCTTGTGCCTCTACTTCCCAAATGCTGAAATTACATTTTCTAAGTGTTCTTCAATGGCCATGGTGACTTTTATAGTGAATTAAATAGGTAGAGGCTAAAGATAGCTCATTGGTACAACACTTGCACAAGGCAAGAAGAACCATAAGACGGCTCTGAAGATTCACACTTGATTAAATTATTAGCTCTGGAGTGTCCCATGGTGGGCTAATACAACAAATAATTATGGTGGGCAATACTATAGAATTCAAGCATCGTGGATAGTTTGTCTTTAAAGTTCGTACATGGGCAGCAGAACTCCAGGATTCAACGCTCTTGCCTCCCACACTTTTTTTTTTTTTTCGAGACAGGGTTTCTCAATGAAATAGTCCTGGCTGTCCTGGAACTCACTCTGTAGACCAGGCTGACCTTGAACTCACAGAGATATGCTTGCCTCTGCTCCTGAATGCTGGGATTAAAGGCATGCACCACCACCACCCAGCTGCATTCTTATTTTATTCTCTAAAACCACAAGGTGGAGCACCCAGCAAGCAAGATTTTACAGAAAATGTACATGACAGGTCAGCAGGTTAAGAACAACCATCCATTGTTTTAGCTATTCCAACAAATCATTCTGTTCCAGTTAGCAAGTAAAGAAATGCTTGGCAAATAGGCAGTACAAGCTGTGCTTTAAGAAAATCACTAGGGGCTGTAGAGATAGCTCAGTGGTTAAGAGCACTGGCTGCTTACTCTTCCAGAGGTCTTGTGTTCAATTCCTAGCAACCACATGGTGGGTCACAACCATCTACAATGAGGCCTGGTGCCCTCTTCTGGCCTGTAGGCACACATGCAGGCAGAACACTACATAAAATAATTTTTTTAAAAAAAAAGGAAATCACTAAATAAATGAACAAGTCAATATGTAAGGATTGGTCCTTTCTACCTTATTCTACTATAGTGCCATGTGCGTGCAGGAGTCCATATGAGGCAGAAAAGGCACTGAGTGCCCCAGAACTATAATTACTAACATCTGTGAGCTGCTGGATGTAGACCAAGCTGGCCTCAAACTCAGAGGTCTGCTTGCCTCTACATCCCCAGTGCTGAGATTAAAGACATGAGCTGTGTGGCAGTTTGAATGTAATTGGCCCCCATAAGCTCACAGGGAGTGGCACTATTAGGAGGTGTAGCTTTGCTGGAGTAGATGCTGCCTTGTTGGAAGTGTGTCACTGTTGGGGTGGGCTTTGAGGTCTCATGCATATATATATGCAAGTCACAACTTCTGTCTTAGGGTTTCTATTGCTGTGAAGAGAAACCATAACCATGGCCACTCTTAAAAAGGAAAAACATTTCATTGGAGTGGCTTACATTTTCAGAGGGCTAGTCCCTTATCGTAATGGTGGGACATAGTGGTGTACAGGCAGACATAGTGCTGGTGAAGTAGCTGAGTGTCCTACATCTTGGCTTGCAGGCAACAGGAAGTGGTCTGAAACACTGGGCATGGCTTGAGCAGATATGAGACTTCAAAACCCACCCTCACAGTGATACACTTCCTCCAATAAGGTCACACCTACTCCAACAAAGTCACACTTCCTAATAATGCCACTACCATAAGCTTACAGGGGTTAATTAGATTCAAACTACCACAAACCACCACTCCTGGCTCTGTGATTTTGCTTTTAAATAATTTCTTGACCCCAGTTTATACTACCCATATACTCCTGGGTACAGGACCATCTATTTGAGTGTGGTTGACCTATCAAGAGCTACACCTTAAAGAAAACTGACTCTCCCATTTCCGTATCAAGTATCCACAGTCCCCAAGAGTAGAGGGTTCATCGGTCCCTTCTCACTCCATGCTAGGATATTGACTGGCTCCATCTTGCACAGGTCTTGTACAGGCAACCATAGCTGTTGTATGTTTATAAGGATAGCAGTCCCATCGGGTTCAGAAGACACTTTATCTCTAGTCCTCCACTTATGCCTCTTACTACCCTGTCCCCTCTTCCTCAATGGTTTCTCAGTCATGACAGGAGCTCACTTCTTTGCAATCAAAGGGGTCTGAATAATAGTGTCTCATGCAGAGCTCTAACCCACCCTCCAAACAACTGAGGCTGAGTACCCTGCTTTCATGAGGATTAGTTTGGGAATGAGGCAAGACAAAGCCATGATGAATCCTCAGGAGCTGGGAGCCTGGAGGAGGGGGGCTAAGAAGGCTAGGGTTGGTAGTAGATGATGGATACTGGATTGCCCTATACTCTGCTAACCTTCAGAACTGCAGGGTAGAAGGGATGTCTATGCCCATCCACAGAGTATCCCAGATCCCAAAAGAGAATAATTGGACAACAGACCAAAGGATCCACCACCCTACAGGATCCAAATAACCGATTTTATTAGAGGCTCCGGGCCTAAACAGGTCACTCTCATGCCTTCTCTGACATGCCCTAAGCACTTTGGGCCTGTGGCCTACTTTTTAAGGCCACACTGTGTGAGAAAATGTCTCAAGTGCCTCATAAATCCAAACCTTTGTGAGTCTGCTGGATTTCTGGGTGCCCTATTTGACTTCCCAGGTGTCTCATGTTCCTGGTAACTCTCTGTCTTGGGAACCGGTACCCCTGTACAGCAATGCCCTGGTGGCTCAAGGTCCCTCTCCAAAGCAGTGGGGACTCTGGTGCTGTACTCCCTTGTATATGGGGCACTCACTTTAGAAAATGGGGTCGAACTCCTCAGGGTAAGAAAGGGGGCTGAGTGCTGGGGCTTAGCCGGCCGCGGCAACCATGGCATCTTGCTCAAGAATGTCATGCTCAGCCTGGCTGCAGCCGAGTGAACATTCTCTTTGAAGCTGGGGATATGTGCAGAACAGGGGAAAGGCGGCTGCCAGGCCCCTCTGCCCTCTACAGCTCCCATGCTTCCACTTCTCCAGTGTGGGGGCTGCTGGCATTTCAGTCTGGGGGGCTCAGAGGCTTCCCGGGGTATGCATTCCTTTTTCTGGTGGTTGTGGCCTTCTGTACAGGATGAGGCCCTCAGTCTGCTGGAAGCCCTGTGTTCTGCATGGGAGACTCCAGACCTGACCATTTTCCTGCCCCTGCTGCTCTCAGTGGAAAGCTCTTGGACCTGTCCTGGGCCACACCTGGACTCTGCTGTTGGCCTAGGATTCCTCGGAGCCGGAGCCGGAGCCGGAGCCGGAGCCGGGATCTTGGCCTTAGGCACCCCCTCTTGGATCTGTGGTTCTCTTGCTCCCCCTGGTGGTCTACTTCTCCTGGGTTTCTTAGGTGGCATGGAGCAGCCCATTGGCTGGACTTGGGTAGAAAGTTTTGAGCTTTTTCTTTCAAGAACTGCATGGCTTTGAGTCCTGCCTGTAGACTCGGGGCCTAACGGGAATCCGTGGGACTCACAATGCTGTTCCTGTTGCCTTTGGCGTTCCTGGTCTGTGCGTGGTCCAGGCAGCCTCACTCCAGCCCGAGGCAAAGGGCAAGATTCTAAGAAGTGAAAAAGCAAGTACGATTCCAGGATTCGTCGAGGGAGACCCCACCTCAGGTGTGCAATTCTCCTCTTCATGAGGGATTCCAGGAGCAGATGTTTACTCTTCTTGAGGGCTGGCCATTTGCACAGAGTGGTGAGGACAACGGGTTCACTTGCTGGAGCTCGGGTACTTTGGGAGACTTGGGGACACAGGAGAGAGGGAAAGACAGAGGATGCCTGAAATTGGGGGTGCTGGCATGTCAGGCTGGAAGCCTTTCCTGGGTCTACCCTTTTGTCCCTTTCTTGTTTTCTTTGAGAGACAGGTTGGGCCCTCTGGGAGCTTTCACTGACCCCACCTCTGTGCTTCGGGACAGGGACTGTGCCCTGGCTTCTTAGATGTTTTTTGGGATAGGGAACAGAGTCTACACCATTTCTAGCCACTGGCTGCTTGTGTCTAAAAATGGGAGAAGCAGGCTGGGCCAAGCTGTACTTCCTGTCTATGGGCCCCACTCTTGCAGAAGAGGCACCTTGGAAACTGGGCCTGACAGCATCCTTTCTTCTGACCTGGCCCTTGTCTCCTCTCCTCCGTGTATGAGACACTTCAGAATCCTCAACTCTGCATTTTCTCTGGGCCCCTACATCCTGGATTTCTGCATCAGCATCTCTACCCTTGCTCTGTATTTTTTGCCCCTGTGTCTGAATCTTTCCATCAGTTTCACACACTGACTGCCTCTGGCCCTCTCCCACCAAGGCTTGGGTCTGTGGGCCACCATCACCTGGGAAATTTCTCAAGTTTCTCTTCCCTTGTTTTTGAATTTCTACATCATTCCCATCTCTGAATTTTTGCTGGGTCTTCCACGCTAACAAGTAGGTCTTTCTATTAACTTTACTTAACACTCTCTGATTCTTTCTCCTGGCTTTCTGGGTCTTTCTACCATCCTCACTCCCAGTCTTGCTCCAGTTTGTCTTCTCCAGTGCCCCATTTGCTGAAGCCTTCCCTTCTCTAGTCTGTTCCCAGCGCCTCCACCTTGTAGAACGGCTCCCTCCAGCTTCAGTAAATTGTCCCTGGTTCTTGCTCCCGGTGCTCTGGGTCTTTACATCATCATCCCCAGGTTCTCTCAGACTTCTCTTCTCTGGGGCCTGAACTTCTTTTCCACCCTCATTCCCCATCAACTTCTGATTATTTAACTCTGGTGATTGGGTGTTTGTGCCCATGTCACTTCCTAACCAGCTCTGGCTTTCTTCCATGGCTGCCTTGATCTCTGTTTCTTGCTCTCCTCCAAGCCCTCTTGGGAGTCTCATCCCTTGTTTCACAACTTCTGCACCGTTCTCACCCCCAACCTTCTCTGCCTCCTTGCACCCTGCTGCACGGGTTGCACCGTCAATGTTTTTACTTGTTATTTCTTCACAGTTCTCTGCCTCAGATGTCTGCTTATTTATACTATCGTTGCCTCTAGTCTGTTCCCGATTCTTCCATTTTGGTATGTGAATCTTCTTATGAAATTCATTTCCTAACTGATCTTGATTTTCTTCCCCAAGTTTCTGGGTCCTTGCTTCATCCTTGCCTTTAGCCCCTCTCAGGTTTCTGTTCCCAAGTATAAGCTTCTCCATCCCACTTTCCTGTTCAGTCTTTGCCTCCTTCTTTATCCCTACTGGGTAAGTCTCCAGATCAGTTTTATCCCTTAGTTGACCCTGATTCTCAGCCTCAGGTGTCAGGTTACTTGTCCCATCACCTCCACGTTGTCTTCGGTCACTCTTCAGTGACTGAATTCCTGCACTGTGTTCCCCTCCAACCTGATCCTGATTTCCCCAACATGATATCTTGAGTTCCCTGTCAGCTGCAACCAGCATTAGTCTCTGGTTTCCCCACCATTGTGCCTGGAGCACAACCCAGTCCTCTTCTCTTATCTCCTTGAGCTTCATCCCCACCTGAGCTTCATGTCTTGACAGATTCTGGTCCTCTTTCTCAGATGCTTGTGTCTTCCTGGCGAATCCACTTCCAGTCTGTGCCCGCATCTCCCCCACTGGAGTCTGGACCTCATTCTGAGTTCTTATACGTCCCTGATTCTCCCACTCCAGGGCCTGGGTCTCTTCATTGTCCTCTTGTTTGACTTCTCTCAAGTTCTCCCTCCCAGATGTCTGCATTTTCACACCATCCTCTCTTCCAAATTGATCCTTGTTTCTTCCTTCCTCCGCCTCTCTCTCTGTACCAGTATTACCTCTGAACTGGTCTTGTGTCCCCTGATTTAGCATTTGGGGATTCTCACTATTTTTACTTCCAGTCCAGCTCTGCGTTTCTAATGCTTGGTCCTGGACCTCTGTCTTTTCCTTCCCTCTGGCTTCTTTCTCACTCTTCTTCCCCAGAGCCAGAGTCTCCGCAGCATCCTCCTGGTTCCCCCACTCTGATGTCTGAGTTGCCATGTCAGTTTTACATCTGAACTGTTCTTGGCAGTCTCCCATAGAAGCCTGGGTAGAAGAAGGATTCTTATCTCCAGGTTCCCTCTGGGTTTTCTTCAATACTTTCTCAGTTTGTTCTCTATCTTCAGTTCCCATTTGGTCTTGCTTCTCCCACCCTGGTATTGAGATCTCTCCATCAGTTTCCCTTACTGGTCTCTGGTTTCCACAGTCCAGTACCTTAGCCTCTTTATCGTTCTCTACTCCACAGTCTATTGGGAGAGAGCCTCCAGATGCTTGTATTTCTGAAGCAACCTCCCTTCTTCTCTCTCTCTTGTTTGTATATTGTGGGGTATCTTCACTATATTCTCTGCCTACTATCTGGGTTTTACCCTGTGGTTCTAAGGGATCTTGTTGGCCATCCAGGAACTTCTTGGTGGATGGTTCCAATTGTTGGTTAAGAGGACCAGGCAGAAACCCTCTGAGGCAGAACTTTGACCTCCGAACTAAAGGGAAGTTTGGGGGAGAGATGGCTAAAGCTCTGGAGGTGGATCTGTACTTCAGGCTAATAGACTTTACTGGCATCAGCTCCTCCTGGGAGGGAGCCAGCAGCTGTTCTATTCTTTGGCATATGTCCACGGAAGGGTGAGCCTGGCTATTGCTGGGACACCAGGGGACCTGCCATATATCCCAAGAATTGTCCTGAGGAAGAAGACAAGTGCTTGAAAAGGAAGAAGTACAAAAAATAGGCTCAGAAGGGGTGTGGACAACCCAAGGCAGATCTTGGCATGGGTTCTGTGGAGACAATAGGTACCGGTTGGCCCATTGTTGTCTGAGGCTCTTCCTGTATCCCCATCTCTGCTTCTGTGTCCATTGTTGGACCGGAACATCCAGGTCCCTGATTTTTCCATGAGTAAAGAATTCAGGAATCACCCCAAAGAAAGTTTCACGTCTGGTGGATGACACTGCCCATCTCTGCGGTGGCACCTGTAAAATAAAGACTGAGAATCAAAGCTCTAGGATACAAATTATCTCCTAAATTCCCTACAGATCTGACTAAATATCCTACTACCTGGGTGAAGGTGCTTGTGCTAAGTGGGTAGGGGGACTTCCCCTAAGCAAACAACATTCATTCACCCAGAAAAACTGAAAGATTGCTCTGAGCCAGGCGCCATTCTGTATGCTGGGTATCAACGTGAATAAGACAAAGCCCCTGCTGGGACCTATATTCTAGACATAGAAAAGACAATAACCAAATATGTAACTGTCAGGCTAGGGACGTGGCTCAATTCGTAGAGTCTGTACCTAACATTGAAAGAATCCACTCCAATAATCTCTGCACTCAGAAAGTAGGAAGACAATAACCAAATATGTAACTGTCAGGCTAGGGACGTGGCTCAATTCATAGAGTCCATACCTAACATGGAAAGAATCCACTCCAATAATCTCTGCACTCAGAAAGTAGACAAAGGCCGGACATTGGTGGCACAGGCCTTTAATCCCAGCACTTGGGAGGCAGATGCAGGCGGATCTCTGTGAGTTTGAGGCCAGCCTGGTCTACAGCTCCGAGGCAGATGCAGGTGGATCTCTGTGAGTTTGAGGCCAGTCTGGTCTACAGCTCCAGTGCCAGGATAGGCTCCAAAGCTACAGAAAAAAACCCTGTCTCAAAAAACCAAAAAAACAAAAACAAAAACAAAACAAAAC